TAAGAAGATGTTGGATATCCATTTGTCTGAAGTGGTGTAGGGTTTCCTGCCTAGTCAGGGGGTTGGACTAGAAGACCTCCAAGGCCACTTCCAACTCCGCTATTCTGTTCTGTTATCTTTGACCTCCGAGGGTTGCAGGGGGCATAATGGTGAGATTTGCTTTCCTGAAAAGGAAGCACATTCCCCAACATACCCCTGATATTCTCCCTCACCTAGAAATTCTACAGAGCCTGAAACCAGCCAAACAGGGATAATTGAAGTAAAAGATGTTTTTCCTTCTGTGATAAAGGGTGAAAGGAGAAATTGGGTTTCTCTTCTCAGGTGGGAAGTAGGTTAGACTTTGATGCTGTCTAGGGAGGGGAATCCTGGACCATTTTCATTCACACCAACCCCCTCTGGGTCTCTTTCAGGGCTTCACACCTGGCAGGTGGTTTTGGGCTGTGAGCTCAGAGAAGATGGGAGTAAAGGATGGTTTTGGCATTATGGCTATGATGGATGGGACTTCATCAGCTTCGATAAGGAGACCTCAGATGGGTGGCAGCTCAGCCCCAGGCCCAGAAGGTCGAGGAGAAGTGGGAGGATCATCCAAGATGGTCCGAGAGCAATAAAATCTTCCTGGAGAAGACCTGCATTGAGGGGCTGCAGAGATACCTGTCCCACAAGAACAAGACTCTGCAGAGGACAGGTAAGTGGCAAAGGGGGTCTCCACTGAGCATGTTTCTGTCAGCTCCTCCCTCCTCATATTGTTTCTATCCTTATCATCCAGGACACCTTTTAAACTAGTGACAGAAAAGGGTCAGGAGGAAAATAATCTTCAGCTCCCTCCACCCCCGAGAAGTTGTTAAAGAAAGAAACGGAGCAAGGAATTCATGCTGACTGTCTCCCTTTATTTCCTCTGGAAAGTCCTTCAGAGCAGAAGAAACAAATGCCCTGTGTTTTGGGTGGGAAGGAAATGATGGGTCTGTTCCCGATTTTCATCTGAATAACTTGAACGGTTCAATTTGGAGGCTTAAAATTGCATCAATCTGCCCAATCGGGATCATGTTGGCCCATGTGAAAACATTACCCCAAATTCTTTGTGTCCCTTTCAAAAACCAATCCAAAGAGCTCCGATGCCCCATTTGAGGGGCTCCTGCACATTGAGGCAAGGAGAGGGAGCAGAGGGGGAGGATGGCAGGATGAGGTCTTTCCTGTTATTAAATCGTCTTGCCAGAAACACTCAAACTCCTGGGAACTTTATTGTTGTTGCTGTTTCTGCAGAGCCTCTGGTGGGGAAGGTGAATTACAAGGTGGTGGATGACAGACTGGAGGTCCTCATCTGCCAGGCCTTTGGCTTCTACCCCAAGGAGATCCAGGCCACCTGGACCAGGGATGGAGAGGTCTGTGAATACGAGACCCTCCATAGGAACGTGGCCCCCAACTCGGATGGGACCTATTATGTCCTGCTCAGCATTGAGATCGACTCCAAGGAGAGGAACCGTTTTCGGTGTCACCTCGAGCACGAGGGCTTGGACGAGCCCCTGGTCTTGGCATGGGAGGAGGAAACAGGTGAGAGGCTCAGCATTTGTAATATGTCACCTCGTGGTGAGATGGGTGGCATCTAAATTTATTAAATAAAATACATCAATAAAAATAAATGTGGAAGTAGATTGTTCACCACTGTAGGATGGTTCAATCAATGCCATTTTCAGTGAGGGAGGTTGGCCCTTTGTCAGCCCAACAAGGGAGACCAGAATTAAAAAAAAAACAATGCCAGGTACAATCTGGCAATCTGAAAATGCTTCTGCCTCCCTCCGTTTATCTTCAGGTGATCTTGAGAAGGGCCTG